TATCGCATACTTAGTGAAACCCGTGACGAGGATAACGTCTGATTTCCTGCTAAGTTAGGCGACGTGCAAAAAGGCTTCAACCCGCGGTACTGCTACACATATCACCGGGAGCGAGGACACTGGACGGAGGACTGTTTGCCTCTGAAGCAACACTTGGAGGAGTTAGTCGTAGGCGGACACTTAGATCTTTACATCGATGGGGGTGTTAAGGCCACACATCCCGCCCCGGCTGATCCGCATGGATCGGCTAACTTGGAGGCGCCCCCTCAAGGAGTGGTTAATGTGATCCATGGCATAGTGGAGCCGGCGAGTGTATGCGAGCTCCGCGAAATGATAAAAAAAGCGGAACACATGAGGAAAGTTTTGTCAGTCCAGCCTGCGATCAAAAGGGGGAAGACCGAGGAAAAAGATGTGATTAGTTTCTCCACAAGGGACCTAGAGCGCATTCAAACGCCACACAACGACGTCCTAGTGGTCACCCTCCGCGTCAAAGAGTTCGATGTCAAGCGCATCTTGATTGACCAAGGAAGCTCGGTTAAAATTATATACTACGACGCGTTCAAACAACTCAAACTTCGAGATACAGACTTGGCTCCGGCTACTTCGCCACTGGTAGGTTTCAACTCGTAACCGGAGTGGTCTTTGGGGAAAATAATTTTACCGGTCAAAGCCGGATCCGTGGTCAAGCAGGTGGAGTTTTGGGTATTGCAGGTGCCGTCTACATACAATCTGATCCTCGGTAGGGGCTGGCTTCATGCTATGTAGGCTGTAGCGTCGACCTACCACCAGGTTATGAGATTCCCCTCGGCTATGGGGGAAATTGAGGAAATTTGGGGCGATCAAGTCATGTCGAAGCAATGCTTCGTGGCAGTGAACGGGAGCCGAGCTGCCAAAGGCTCCGTGCAAATGATTGAAGGTCCAGAAGACCAGAGTGTCCTTGATGACGTGGGCACCAGGGCCGAGGACAAAGCTGTTGAAGAATTGGTAGAAGTACGGCTCGACACAGAAAATCCAAACAAGTTCTTTTTGCTAGAATCAAGCCTGACCGCTTAAGAAAGGGCCGAGATGGTAGAGTTCTTGATGGCAAATATCGAAGTCTTCGCATGGTTGCCCCACGACATGCCTGGCATCGACCCAAGTTTTATTTGCCACAAACTCAATGTTTTCCCTGATGCGCGACCAGTCATTCAGAGAACAAGGAGATCAGCTCTTCATCACGCCGAGGTAGTCGCGGAGGAGGTAAGGAACTTGCTTGAAGCACGGGCTATTCAGGAAGTGCACTACCCTCGGTGGATTTCAAACACGGTCGTAGTACCCAAGAAGAATGGGAAGTAGCGAGTTTGCGTCGACTACAAGACCGTCAACCGAGCTTGCCCTAAAGACAGCTTTCCTCTGCCCAGAATAGACCAGCTGGTGGATTTAACGGCCGAACATGAAAGGCTTAGTTTCTTGGATGCCTACCGCGGTTATCATCAGATTGCCATGCATGGCCCCAACCATAAGATAACCTCTTTCACCACTCCAAGGGGACTCTTCTGCTATTGAATCATGCTTTTTGGTTTGAAGAATGCCGGGGCAACTTTCCAAAGGATGGTGACCAAAATGTTCGCCCCTCTGCTAGGCCGGACGATGGAGGCTTACATTGACGACATGGTGGTCAAAAGCAGGCATGAGGCAGACCACTTGTCCGACCTAGCCGAAATGTTCGCCATTCTCAAACAGCGCAAGTTACGCTTAAATGCGTCCAAGTGTGCCTTCGGCGTGGGATCCGGGAAATTCCTAGGCTTCCTAGTCACAAACCGAGGCATCGAGGCAGACCCCACACAAATCAAAGTTGTACAAGAATTAAAGCAGCCCAACTCAGCGAAGGACATGCAGCATCTGGCCAGAATGGCTGCCGTGCTTAATCGATTCATAAGTCGGTCATCAGATCACTGCCGCCTTTTCTTTCGAGCCCTAAAATCCAAGTTTTCGTGGGATGAGGAATGTGACAGGGCTTTGGCCGAGCTAAAGGCGTATCTGTCTTCTACTCCATTATTAGTGACACCAAAGCCCAGTGAAGAACTCTACCTTTACCTGGCCGTTTCTCAGCATGCAGTTAGCGCAGTGCTTGTCCGGTCATAAGGCATCCAGCATTTTCCCATCTTTTACGTGAGCAAAACCTTACTACCGGTAGAGTCGAGATACTTGCCGCTGGAAAAACTTGCCTTGGCACTGGTGATGGCGTCTAGAAAATTGGCGCACTATTTTTATGCTCACACAATCATTGTTTTGACCGAGTTCCCACTCAAAGCCTTGTTTGAGCGGGCGAATTTCTCCGATCGAATCCTCAAGTGGGCGGTCGAATTGGGACAATTCGACATCAAGTTCCAACCCCGAACTGCCATAAAATCACAGCCATTGGCCGACTTTGTTGCTCAATTCTCACCTGGAATTCATCTAGTATGCCTGGTGGACCTTGCCGCGGCAGCCGAGGAGGTGAATGCTGGCTTGCCAGAAAGTGCACAGTAGGGTGATGTTGGCGACGCGGAACTTGCGCGCCCCGCCATAGAACCTCTAGCCGGCATAGTACTTCAGCCCGGCGATGCGATTTCGGACTTGAGCATGGCAGTTCAACCTGTTGGGTCCGGTGCTGCATCGCCGAGGGGGGATGAAATGGAACCAAACGGCAGCGAACCAGAAACCGAACAGCCGAGCAACCGTGATCCCATCAACCTTCAAGCCTCCCAGGACCCCTCAGAGTGTTGGAAGCTCTTTGTCGGAGAAATATGGAAACTTTTTGTAGATGGAGCCTCAAATCGTCACGGTGCCGGGCTGGGCATAGTTTTGATGTCCCTAGATGGTTTGACTATCGAACACTCTATCACACTCGGAATCCTTGCATCAAACAACGAGGCTGAGTACGAGGCGCTGTTGGCTGAGCTCAAGAGCGCCCTTCAGGTGCACGCATCTGAGCTAATGGTTTACAGCGATTCCCAACTCGTTGTCAACCAAGTGTCTGGGGTTTATGAAGCTAAAGATGACAGAATGGCAAAATACCAAGCTCTAGTGAGAGAACACATCAAGCGATTCCAGGCAATTAGGGTCCAACAAATTGGTCGGGAAGACAACGGCCGTGCGGATGAGTTAGCCAGTTTAGCTTCCATGGTCGATAAAACATCTCCCAGCCCCCTATTGATTGAGTTTCTTTCTAGGCCTAGAATCGAGGAAACCGAGCAGAAAGAGGTACTTTGCACCGAGCTAGGTCCTTCTTGGATGGACCCTATTACCCTCTTCCTCAAGGAACGGACCCTTCCGGCCAATAAAAAGGAATCGCATAAAGTCCGGGTGAAGTCGGAGCGGTTTTTGCTCTCTCCATTTGGCACTTTATACAAGAAGTCTTTCACCGGCCCTTATCTTAAGTGTGTACACCCAAACAGCGCGGAAGCTTTCCTGTACGAAATTCATGAAGACATATGCGGCAGTCACATCGGGGGCAGATCTTCGGCCTACCAAGCTATCTTGCAAGGGTATTGTTGGCCGTGATGCAAGCGAACGCTCAGAAATATGTTCGCAAATGTGAGAAGTGCCAAAAGTTCGCCCACCAAATTCACCAGCCGGCCAGAGAACTTATTCCCCACACAAGCCCTTGGCCTTTTATGATGTAGGGGCTGGACAGAGTGGGACCACTCCCAATGGCACCAGGCAACCAGAAGTTTTTCATCGCGGCTAAGGACTACTTCACCAAATGGGTTGAAGCTGAGCCCTTAGCAACTATCAAGGAGAAAGACGTCAAATGGTTTGTCTGGCAGAATGTGGTAACGCGGTTTGGCATCCCTAAAATTCTGATCTCTGACAATGGCACCCAATTTGATAGGCGCCTATTCAAAGGATTTTGTAAAGAATTGAAGATCGAATTCTACAACTCCACTCCAGCTTACCCGCAATCCAACAGCCAAGCCGAAGCATCAAACAAGACCATTCTTGATGGGTTGAAGAAAAAACTTAAGAAAACCAAGGGAAAATGGGCCAAGGAACTCCTAAGTGTCCTTTGGGCATACCGGACGACCCCGAGGCGATCTACCGAGGAAACTCCTTTTGCCTTGGCATATGGCATAGAGGCGGCCATCCCATTGAAAGTTGGCATGCCCACCCTCCGCAGTGAAAGTTTTGAGCCCGAGCTGAACTCTGAAGTCATCGCTCTGGAATGGGGCCAAGTGGAAGAGCGCCGAGAAAAGGCTCTAATCCATGTGGCCGCATACCAACAAGAGCTTTCCAGAAAATACAACAAAACGGTGCAGCCCAGACCGTTCAAAGTTGTGGATTGGGTTTTAAGAAAGGTGATGGGCAACACACTGGTGCCAGGAGAAGGCAAGCTAGGGGCAAACTGGGAAGGACCCTACAGGATAACCGGTCTGCCAGGCAAGGGGGCATATCACTTGGAAGATTTGGATGGCAAAGGCATACCCCGGCCATGGAATGCAGCCAACTTCAAACTGTACTATTTTTAAGTTTTTCATAGTTTTTATGTTATTCTTTTGAGCAAGGACTTGTTTGCCTTACACTTCAGAATGTAATACCCTTTTTGTCAATATAATAGAAGTGACTTACTCTTGTTGAAGTATTCTGTTGTTTTCGATGCTTATTTTGTGATTTCAACCGAGATGTTTTACTCCGGTTGAACGAGTTAATGATTTTACTCGACTTTGTGATTTTAACCGAGATGTTTTACTCTGGTTGAACGAGTTGATGATTTTACTCGACTTTGTGATTTCAACTGAGATGTTTTATTCTAGTTGAACGAGTTGATGATTTTGCTTGACTCTGTGATTTCAACTGAGATGTTTTATTCCGGTTGAACAAGTTGATGGTTTGCTCAGCTCTGTGATCTCAACTGAGATGTTTTACTCTGGTTCAATGAGTTGACGATTTGCTCAACTCTGTGATCTCAACCGAGATGTTTTACTCCGGTTCAATGAGTTGGCGATTTGCTCAACTCTGTGATTTCAACCGAGATGTTTTATTCTGGTTGAACGAGTTGATGGTTTGCTTAACTCTGTGATCTCAACCGAGATGTTTTACTCCGGTTCAATGAGTTGACGATTTGCTCAACTCTGTGATTTCAACCGAGATGTTTTACTCCGGTTCAATGAGTTGGCATTTTTCTCAACTCTGTGATTTCAACCGAGATGTTTTATTCTGGTTGAACGAGTTGATGGTTTGCTCAGTTCTGTGATCCCAATCGAGATGTTTTACTTCAGTTCAATGAGTTGACGATTTGCTCAACTCTGTGATTTCAACTGAGATGTTTTACTCCGGTTCGACGAGTTTATGATATCCTCAGGGGTTTTTGCAAGATGGTTTATCTCTGCCGTATGAGTTGATAATTTGCTCACGGATGAGTGGTTTCAACCGAGATAATTAGCTCAAGCCAAGGTGCTTTACCCCGGCTGAAGTTGTTTAGTTTAAACACAGTACAACACTTAACGAAATCAAAACATTTCATTGATGTAAAACAGAATTACATACGGAGGGGCTGGCAGCCCGGTTACATTCTTAAAAACAAAAAAGAAAAGATAGAAAACTACACTAAGGGGGACAAGTCGGCGAAGTCATCCCCGGTTGTGGTTGCCTTCAGATCGACCGTGGTTGTTTTGTCTTGGACGCCGGTCTCCACCTGCTCGAGCTGCTTCGGGTGGTTTTCTCCCTCAGCATTTTCCTCGGTGTTGTCCACTGCTTCTTCCTCAGCCTCAGCCTGCAACGCCTTGAAGACATCATTAGCATAAGGCACCATGTACGCCGGCAGAAAGGCAACTGGGGGAGAGGCGAACACATCAGTTCCAGATCCTTGGCCTAGTTGTTCGCAAGTAGCCTTCCAGCCGGCCTTGAAGAAAATGTCTTGGGTGGCATAGACTTGCTTCGTGTAGTTTTCCTCGGCCTCCTTGAAACCTTCATTGTTCGCCTCATCCAGCTCATCCTTCCTTGATTATTTCAACGCCTCCAGCTCGGCTCGGAGAGCGTCCCTCTCTTGCTCGACGGCTCCAAGCTGGCCGAGCAATCTGGAGTTGTCAGAGTTCGCGATCTCCAAAGAAGCTTTTGATCGCCCCAGCTCGGTTTGAAGGTGCTCAACCTGGCTGGCAGCGTCGGTTGCCTTCTGCCAGAGTCTATGAATCCGCTCCATGACTAGATATTGTTTCTGGATGGCCTGCAAAGAAGAGTTTTGATTAAAGAAAGGAAACCGAGCAAACACTTAGAAAAATTTAAATAAAGAGTTCGAGATTCTTGACCGAGGACTTCACCAGCCGGGTGTCAGGCACGTGGTCGCTGCCGACCACATCGCTCGACAAAAGCAAGGCTTTGGTTAGGTCAAAGGCGAGTAGATGCTCCTTGTCTCCTTCGACCGATGCACTGGCCTGGATCTCTTTTCCCCGGTGCTTCAGTTGGGGCTTCCATGGTGGTGTTGGGTCAATTGTGACCGCCGGTTGCTTAGTGTTCAACTCCGCAACTGTAACAACCATTATCCGTAATTAGCCACTAATCCGTATTTAATGATGTTAATTAAATGAATAAAATAAATTATGGGTTTATTATGTGATTTGCATGATATTTGGCTTACTACCTGTTACTTGTAGAAATATCTGTCTGGAATTCCGCTTTAATATGTAAATTGAAAGCCTTGTCGGCATCCGAAACCGAAATTGACTCCACCAATATGTTATTTGGAATTTTTAGAACCATATGGCAAGTTTTATTAAAAATTGATTCAGAACGATTCATTAAGTTGCATTTGGCAAGCCTTATGTTTTAATTAATGTATTTTAGCATCATAACTATCCATATGAGCCCTTAAGCTCATTTGAGCTCATTCCTCTCATTCTTGAGTGCAAAATTCTGGAGATTCATCTTAGAGAGAGAGAAAGGGAGAGATTAAAGAGAAATTGAAGGCTATAGCTTGAATTGATCAAAGATTGTGCTAGAACAAGAGTAATTCAAGACTCTAGGTAAGATTACAACCTCTAGATTGTGTAACTAAGTCATTTAACATGAAATTTCTTCATGATTATTAGTTTGATGTGTATATTGAGCTTAGAATAAAGATTTGAGTTGAAATTCATGCATGCATGCACATTTTCTCACAAATTGAGCATGAACTCCAAGAATTCTCTCATGCATGTTTGAAATTCATCTTCATTTGGGGGAATCATCAAGTTTCAAGTTGTTTTGTGGTGTTTGATCACGTTTTGAGAAGTTTGATACAAGAAAAATTCATGCATGTTGTGTTGATAAACATTCTTGAAGTTTAAGTTGAAATTGGGAACTTTTGACAAACCCTTGGGCCATGATTTTATGAAATGATCCTAAATTCTTCATGCTTTACAAGTTTACTATGTTATCTCAAGTTTTGGGGCCCAAGAGATGTGTTTTGAAGGTTGGAATTCGAGTTTTGAGCTTGAAAGTGCAATCTGGAAATTCTAGAATTTGTATCTACGCTCAAGCATGGAAGTTCCCGCTCGAGCGACCAATCTGAGTGCGTGCACTCCGCTCGAGCGACCAAAAGTCCGCTCAACCGTGAATTGCAAGCTCCCAAAAGTTTCATGTCTTTTGCAGATCGCTCGAGCGAAGGAATGTTCGCTCGAGCGACCATTCACATTTTGCATGTTCGCTCGAGCGAGGAAAGCTACGCTCGAGCGTGGACCTTATTTTCAGAAATTTGACTAAATGTTCCAATTCATGTTTTGGCATCCTCATTACATCTTAGGCATTCCTAAGACCTAATTAAGCTTTGATAATGAGGTTATGGATTAGAAACACACTAAAGAATGTACTAAGTTCCGAGACTGCAAATGTGTGTGTGTTTTAAGCATTGTGATAAGAAAGAACAAGAACCAACGTAATGAAAGCTAAGCCGTGTTGGCCACTTGAATGTGTAATGATAAGATATACTTGTGTTATGTATTTTGTGATTGTAGGTCAAGACTCGAGGATTGATTGACCATTTACGGGAACCACTGTGAGTAACATTTCTGTAAAGATATGTTGATATGAATTACGTTCCAAATGAAATGTGATAAGCTATGATTTCTAAAATGATATCTGTTTACGTGAACGAACATCCCAAGTTTGAAATCTATTATGGCATCCATAGATAGTCCCAAATCATGGGGGACGGCATGAAAATGCGGGTCCATGACATACAAGTAATTACGAGATCTCATTAGCCACTTCATTGTGGTGATATGTGTTTAATCGGTATCCGGAACCGATTACTCTAGTCGGAAGACGTTTTGTGATGTGTTATATGGGATGTACCATTATTATGTTCTGATATGAGAATGTTTATGCTCTGGTCTGTTTTTTGCTTATGATATATTCGGATTTCGTTCATTAACCTCTTTACCTTAATGTTATTCATTGGGCTTTACCTCATTGTGTGTATATATATGTATAGGTGAGCATTCTGGAGCCCGAGCCTGAAGGCTTTTGTCTGGATCTGTGTTCCATTGTTAACCAACCATTGTGTCTCACGTTAAGGTTCCTGAAGTGTCCAGTGTTTAAGTTTTGTTGTTTCTGTATATATAAGACTTGATTTAATTCTGTTGGCTGTACTTAAGATACTTTAATGTGTGTGGGTATAATGTATGGTTGACTTTTGACTATGTATATAAAGTTTCTAAATATTCCGTTTCATATAAGTCAGCACAGCTTATTAGACAACTATATTTATGTATTTACTTCCGCTAGCCCCTTAATCTTATTAATCTGTTCAGAGGCCTTCGGTAGCCCAAGGATTACTGGTCGGTTATGATGCTAAACCTATAGGGGCGGGTTTGGGTCGTAACAGAATGGTATCAGAGTACGAGTTATACCGCACACACGTGTCCATATGAGCTATAGGATGTCCTAGAAATGAAATAGGGACATTGCATTATCACGTGTAAGTCTGTGAACTATTATGAACGCATCCTTATTGAAAATACATTGAAATGAAACCTTTGTGCATGATCAAAGAAGTTAAGTGGAATAACAAGTAGTGTTAATTTCAATGCCGAATGTGGAATCTATGTGAACATGAACGTATGAAAGTAAGGGATCATGTGACTGTATCTGAATTGAAATGAAAGTATGAACGCGTCTGATATGAAATGAAATGTGAGAACAGTGAGAACTTTCCTTATATTAATAAGCACCCTGTTTGTGTGTAGCCAATGGAAAGGACAAGGAATGTAGACGAATCTGAATCTTCTGACGCTAGAATTAGCCGGTTTGAAAGAATGGTTGAAACCTTAACCGAAAATCTGAAACAACAGCAACAAGGGCAAATACATGTATCTGAACCAGCTAATTATGATATGGTAACACTGACACAGAAATACAATAAGATGAAACCACCGGAGTTTCAGGGGGGTATTAAACCGTTGAAAGCTGAGGCTTGGGTCTTAGAAACTAAGAAAATATTTGAGGTATTTCCGTGTACTGAGGCACATAAGGTTTTGTGGCAACATTCACGCTTAAAGAAGAAGCTAGGAGATGGTAGATGTTAGATGTTAGTACAGAATGATAATGAAGGTGTGACATGGGAGAGGTTTAAAGAAATTTTCTTCGAAAAATACTTTCCCCAATGCATCCGGGATAGGAAGGTATCTGAATTTGAACAATTAAAACAAGGCAAAATGACTGTCGCTGAATATGAAACAAAATTTACTGAGTTAGCCCGTTATGCACCCCATATAATAGACATTGACTACAAAAAGGCTAGGAAATTTGAAGGTGGGCTGGACTTAGATGTGTTTGATCGAGTTGGCGTCTTAAAATTGCCAAAATACGTGGATGTTCTTGATAGGGCCTTAATGTCCGAGGCAAACATAGCAGCCTTGAAAATATCAAAATCAACATCATCAACTGAATCAGAAAAAGCGAAATTGAAGAAACTGAAGATTGAAATGACTAGTAATTCGATAACTTCTGCGAATGAAAAATCTAGGGTGAAAACTGTGAACAAAGAAAGCCGGGGAAGCAATGTGAACAATAGTATACTTATTTGTAAAGAATGTGGGAAACAACATTGGGGCATTTATCGCCGCCTATCAGGGGCTTGTTTTAGATGTGGTCAGAAAGGGCACTTGGCTAAATCTTGCTCACGAACTCATCCGAACAACACCTAGAGGCAAGGAAGGGTTTACACCCTAGTTCCAGAAAATGCTCGGAACACCGAAACAACTGACGCAGGTATCACCTTAACTAAGTGCAATTGTTTATATGGGAATTTGTGTGGAAGTGTACATTTCATACCTTGATATAGATTATGGACATGTTAATTGAACCAATTGAATTATTAGAATTATGAACCCCTAGTTATTGACTGCCTCGAAAACTTGCTAATTTTATGTGAAATGCCCGAAGCCCTATAACGAATTACCTGAACTTTGGGAATTGTTGAGACTTATGGACAACAAGAACTTGCTGGGTTAAATCCTTGTACCATATTGCAAAATTTAATATGAACTGTTAGGTATGACCTTTGAACTATGCTAGAACTATTGAACATGGGAACACATCAGGATTGACTATAGTTTGGGAAATCTATACGACCATGACTTGAACTAAACTGTTATATATTTACCGACATCATCGAATGAGTAGACCCGTGATCCCAAATTATATACATAAGTCAGCCACGTACGAAATTTCTGAAATTGAGAACCTATGTCAGTCTAGAAGAACGAACTTTTGCTTATGAATTGTGAACAAATGCCTAAATGATAATTGATTTTGGACTCGTACTTGTCTGTATGTTTCCATGCTTGTAATACTATTACAATTGATAGGATTGAACCATGGTTAAGGAACACTTAGAGACCTACTGCCTGATGTGAACTATGTGTGACGCTTTAAACCCTTTTGTTTAACAACTACCTATGATATGGAACATGTTTGGACTTACTTATGCCTATACCTTTGCGTGGGATCTTAATTAATTGAACTCGACACACTCTTTGTGTCCGCTGCATCTGTATCTAGACTAAGTAGACTTATGCCTTGTCGCCTTAACTATCGTATCTGGAGAAATTGTTTTGCGCTCATTTGTACATTGAACTCGTGAATCCGTATTAGGAATGTTATTAGATTCTGAACATGCACCTATATGACTATACCGTTGCCCAGAATGAGTGATATGATTATTTGTTGATAACTTGACCGTTGGGACCATGACTCTGGGAAATTGTTATATTGACTGTGATGCTTACTTCTTGATATGAACAATTACATACCTGTGTACCCACATGTGAACTTACTTGGAGAATGTAACATTGTATTTGACCTGAACTCTTCGATATGAACTATTGTGGTACATGACTCTGATGTGACTTTGAGAATTGATGAACTTAGACTAATTGTGGAATTACGACTATGCACCTAAGCGAATGAAGTATGAACTAGAACCTTTACCTGATCTAATCTGATAGAACTATGGTATGATGAGACCTTTGTTTACCTAAGAGAACT